TCCCCCCACCGGGACTTGAACCTGGGCCTTATAATTACTAAGCCAAGATACTACCAACTACACCACAGAAGGTCTAAAAGGGAAACAGACCTTACAGCTTATATCTGCTATTCTGAGAATGAACGCATTATATCTGAATGCCACTATGTTCATATTACAGTTTCCCCCAATGAGATAGGGAGTTGAAATAAATGCAAAAACAAAACCACGAGTGAGATTGGGAGAAACTGTAATATGAAAATAGTGGCATTCAGATTGAATGCGTTCACTCCTAGCATAGCAGATATAAGCTGCAAGGTCTGTTCCCCTTTTAGACCTTCTGTGGTGTAGTTGGAAGTGCCTTGGCTTAATAATTATAAGTTCCAGGTTCAAGTCCCGGTCGAGATTAAAATGATTCATGTTTTAGCATATGTTAATGTGCTTATTTGGTTATTGCTGGTCCCAAATGAGATTGGTAGTTGAATTAAATGCGAAATGAAACCACAAGTAAGGTTGGGGAAAACTGTAATATGAACATAGTGGCTTTCATATAGAATGTGCTGATTCCTACTATAGCAGATATAAGCTGTAAGGTCTGTTTCCCTTTTAAACCTTCTGTGGTGTAGTTGGTAGAGCCTTAGCTTAGTAATTATAAGTCCAAGGTTCAAGTCCCGGACAGGGTAAAAATGATTCATGCTATCACATGTGGTAATGTGCTTATTCAGTTATATATATATATATATATATATATATATATATATATATATATATATATATATATATATATATATATATATATATATATATATATATATATATATATATATATATATATATATATACATATATATATATATATATATATATATATATATATATATATATATATATATATATATATATATATATATATATATATATATATATATATATATATATATATATATATATATATATATATATATATATATATATATATATATATATATATATATATATATATATATATATATATATATATATATATATATATATATATATATATATATATATGTATGTATGTATGTATGTGATTACCTAATTGTGATTACCTAATCGTGTTTACGGGAAAGAGCCCAAAGCTCGTATCTTCCCGTCTCCTGATCGGTTCCATTTTAGACTTAGTGATACATATCATACGTGTCCTTAAAACTATGGATTGAGATAGCATTAACTACCTCCTCGCTTAGCCAATTCCAATTATCAACTACTCTTACACTGAAAAAGTATTTCTTTACATCCTGCAAAGAAGTTTTCTTACGAAGCTTCAAACTATGACCTCTAGTTCTAGAGCCAGCCATATCAAAATATCGATCCCTATCCACTCTATCATAACCATGAAGGAATTTAAAGACTGTCACCATATCCCCCCTCACTCCTCTAGCTTCGAGTGATGGTAAGTCTAATTCCCTCAGCCTCTCATCATAACTGAGATTGCGTATTTCTGGCACCAGTTTCGTGGCATGTCTTTGAACTTTTTCAAGCTTAGCTATGTGCTTTTTCAAGTGCGGATTCCAAAAGGGGGCTGCATATTCTAGTTTTGGCCTCACATAGGTTACATAAATATTTCTGAACATTTCCTTGTCCATGTGCCTGAAGGCTACCCTTACATTTGATAAGAATGCATAAGCTGCCCTTACTATGCCATTTATATGTATTTCTGGAGACAAATCTGCCAGTATGTTTACTCCTAGATCTCTCTCATTTTCTGTCTCTTGAAGTTGTACTCCAGCCACCACTTTTCTGACCACTCCTGCAGATTATTTAGATCCTCCTGAAGTTCTCTACCATTGTTCTCGTTTTTTACTTTCTTCTCAATCTTTGCATCATCTGCAAACATATTCATGAATGAATTTACAGACTCTGTAATGTATGTGATTACCTAATTGTGATTACCTAATTGTGTTTACGGGAAAGAGCCCAAAGCTCGTATCTTCCCGTCTCCTGATCGGTTCCATTTTAGACTTAGTGATACTTATCATACCTGTCCTTAAAACTATGGATTGAGATAGCATTAACTACCTCCTCGCTTAGCCAATTCCAATTATCAACTACTCTTACACTGAAAAAGTATTTCCTTACATCCTGCAAAGAAGTTTTCTTACGAAGCTTCAAACTATGACCTCTAGTTCTAGAGCCAGCCATATCGAAATATCGATCCCTATCCACTCTATCATAACCATGAAGGAATTTAAAGACTGTCACCATATCCCCCCTTACTCTTCTAGCTTCGAGTGATGGTAAGTCTAATTCCCTCAGCCTCTCATCATAACTGAGATTGCGTATTTCTGGCACCAGTTTCGTGGCATGTCTTTGAACTTTTTCAAGCTTAGCTATGTGCTTTTTCAAGTGCGGATTCCAAAAGGGGGCTGCATATTCGAGTTTTGGCCTCACATAGGTTACATAAATATTTCTGAACATTTCCTTGTCCATGTGCCTGAAGGCTACCCTTACATTTGATAAGAATGCATATGCTGCCCTTACTATGCCATTTATATGTATTTCTGGAGACAAATCTGCCAGTATGTTTACTCCTAGGTCTCTCTCATTTTCTGTCTCTTGAAGTTGTACTCCAGCCACCGAGTAGTCAAGCTTGGGCCTTCTTGCACTTGTACCCATTCTCATTACCTTACATTTTGAAGTATTGAATTTCATTAGCCACTTTTCTGACCACTCATGCAGATTATTTAGATCCTCCTGAAGTTCTCTACCATTGTTCTCGTTTTTTACTTTCTTCACAATCTTTGCATCATCTGCAAACATATTCATGAATGAATTTACAGACTCTGGTAGGTCATTTACATATACAAGGAACAAAAGTGGCCCTAAAACTGAACCCTGTGGAACTCCACTACTAACTCTTCTCCATTCAGACACTGAGTGTCTTACTCTAACCCTCTGTTCCCTTCCTTCTAAGTAAGTTTTTATCCATTCCAAAACATTTCCACCTATTCTAGCCATTGAGTGCAGCTTCCTAATAAGTCTCCCATGTGGAACAGTGTCAAACGCTTTCTGGAAGTCTAGGAATATGCAATCTGCCCTGCCCTCTCTTTCCTGTAAGATTTGGCTTACCTCATCATAAAATTCTAATAAGTTTGTTACTGTTGATAAACCTTCTCTGAAGCCATGTTGCCTCACTGACAAAAAGTTGAAGGATTCCAAGTGAAGAGAGATATGTTTCCTTAGTAGTTTCTCCATAAGTTTGCAAACTATGCTGGTCAAGGAAACTGGTCTATAGTTCAGAGCCGTATCCCTCCTTCCCTTTTTGAAGATAGGTATCACATTTGCTTGTTTCCAGCATCTTGGAATCTCCCCCGACTCCAGTGACTCCTTAAATATGATACTTAGTGCCACTGATATTGTGTTTGCGCATTTTTTAAGCACATGAGGGGATATGTCATCAGGACCTGTAGCTTTATGAACATCTAAATCCATCAGCGCTTTGCATACCTCTGTGGCTGTAAGGTTGATGTTCTCTAATACCGGCCCTTGAGCTTCTATCACTGCAATCTGAGGGGGTGGGGTATTTTCTACTGTAAATACTGACTGAAACTCCTTGTTCAATTCTTTGCAGATCTCTTCATCCGTCTCAGTGATGCTTCCATCCGCTCTCTTTAGCCTTAAAACCTGTTCTTTTACCTTCAGTTTTCCTCTGATAAAGCTGTGGAAAAGCTTGGGATTTTCTTTAGCCTTCCTGGTGATGTCCCTCTCATAATCTCTCTCTGCCTCTCTCCTTTTACTTAGGTAGTCATTTCTTGCTCTTTTGTAGGTTTGCCAGGCATTTATGTTTTTTCTCCTCCTATACCTTTTCCAGCATTTGTCTCTCCACTCCTTAGCTCTTTTACACCCATTATCGAACCATTTCTCTCTGGCATGAATTACACCTACTTTGGTGACAGGTATGCAGCAATCTACTATCTTCCCATATTTCTCACAAAAGATGTCATACATTTCTTGTACAGATTTGTTGTAAAATAAGGTTCTCCAGTCAATAACTGCAAAAAGCTCATTCATTTTGATGTAATCTCCTTTCGGATAGTTCCTCCTCATGTCCTCAGTGCCTCTACTCTCAGGAAGAATATCTTCAATGATATACTCCATCAACAACACACAGTGGTCACTCTTTCCAATTGGTGGTTCATACTCAATATTTTCAATATCCAACACATTATCTGTGAACACTAGATCAAGTAGTGATGGCTCATCCCCACCCCTGGCCCTTGTTGGTTCCATTACATGTTGGTGTAGGAAATTCCCTTGTACGCAATCTAGGAATCTTGCCCCGAATGAGTCCTCACCACTGTGTGGGTCAAGATTTATCCAATCTATCTCTTTATGATTAAAGTCTCCCATAATCAAAATCCTACATTTTTTTCCCCGTGCCATGTTAACAACTGAGTTTATGACTTCAATAGTACCTATATGACTTTCCTCATAAATTTCAAGCCTATTTTGGTTCCTTGGTGGGTTGTATACAACAGTTATTATAATGCTCTCTGACCCAGTATTTATGCGAGCAACAAGAAATTCCCTGAACTCACTTTCTATAGCCAAGTATATTTCTTCAACTTGAATCCTCTCACTTATGAGCAGTGCTATCCCTCCACCAGTCCTCTCAGATCTTTCAACCCTTAGTATTCTGAAGCCCTTAAGAAAAACTGTGACACTGTTTATGTCCTCACTCAACTTAGTTTCTGTAATTGCTACTATATCTGCCTTACTGTTGTGAATCCTATCTTTTAATTCTACTGCCTTACCAGCTAATCCATCAGCATTTGTGTATAACAATCTTAATGAGGCCCCATCCCCTGATCTTCTGTCATTATCTTCTTTATCTCCCCTTTGTCTGGAAGTACTCTGTAACAAAAATTTTTCTTCTCTTCTTCATTTCTTTCATCATTTAACCTTCTTGCCTCTTGCAACAAGTTTTTGATCTTTCCCATCTCTTCCTGTGTTCTGTATCGTCTAATGAACACTTCTTTGCATTCTTGAAGGTCGTTTAGACTTTTTTTTCTCAACAATATTTCCCTACATGTTTCCCCTCTCTCAAAGGT